CACACACACACACACACACACACACACACACACACACACACACACACACACACACACACACTCTACTCAGACTAAGTCCTTTGCACTACTTTCAAGCCCTTTGCTGCCTGTCCTCTGATGTGTTTGTGCTGTCCTACTACTTATATTTTTACACCATGCAGGGTTGGTGTGGACCACCCACAGTTTCATTTTGCACAGTGGCTGGGACTATTCTATTCTATTCTATTCTATTCTATTCTATTCTATTCTATTCTATTCTCAGTGTCCAAAGCTGTGTTGTAAGTAAGAAACGCAGCACCTGATACAGGATGTGACTGAAAGACAGTCAGTCATGGATGATCCTCTGAGCTTCCTGTCATCATTTAGCTTATTGCCAAAGCACTGCTGGAAACAACTCTCAGCTGTGTGCTTTAAGCAGCTCCTCAACCCCACATGAGCCCGCTTTCCCATTGAAACATGGCTGAATGAATGAAGTAATAAGTTGTTTCATTTTAGTTGTTTCATACATAGAAACATTACAATGTGAAAGTGTTTTACAATGTTTGCTGAAAGCAATATTTAAAATAAACTGGACTGAAAATCAGTAGCAACGGGTCCTACAAGGTGAGGAAGCCAAGTTAAGGTACACAAAAGAGGTACAACAGTGAGCGTCTACAGCCATTTGTAAAAAAACAGTGGGGGCACTTTCATGGTGTGGGGCAGCATGAAAGCTATTTAAAGAAATGTTGGATAAAGAGGTCAGACTGTGTTGAAGAATAAAGATGACTTTCAAGCTTGCTAGAACTGTACAATCTCTGCTTTTGACTTGTATAACTGCATTTCCATGTATGACTGCACATATTTCTATCAGTCATTGCATCTGCCTTCTATTTTCATAGCATAATATAAACCAATGGAACTTTTTTGCAGTACTGTAACTAGATATCAGTGTTATGTTTCTTCATGACTCATCTTTTTTAATTAACCATGTGTTTATACACTATTCAGCATTTAACCATTAGTTATTATTAATCTCTGGCTCTCTTTTATACTGTCTCCCTCCCCTCACCCTCAGCTGGCTGCCCCTGAGCCTGCTTCTGCTGTTTCTGGAAGTTTCTTCCTGTTAAGAAGACAGTTTTTCCTTCCCACTGTTGCAAAGTGGTTTCTCATAGGGGGATTGTTTTCTCTGAATGACTGTAATATGTAAAGCTCCTTGAATGAACTCTTGTTGTGATTCAGTGTATGCAGATAAAACCGAATTGAATTGAGCTGAATTAGTGTTGGAAGACCTCATAGTGCCCAGTCCAAATCAAGGATACAGGTTTGGTTTAAAAAGTGAATTAATTAAGACACAATGCCTTTGTTTGTATTGCATTTGGAGATCATTATGCATGTGTGTGGATATTTTTTGCACTTACTAAATGTATTTATTTCTGTTCATCAAGAAATCCACAAAGTATACCAAGATATTAAAGAAACTGACTGCTGACAAACGTCTGTTTTCTTCTGTTTTCTTTTCTTATGTCTCTGTAGTTTCTTTCTGACCTTCTTCAAGCCCACAGCTTAGACATTTCCACCTACTGCTAATCATTCACAACCATTCCAAAAATAGCCATCAAAATTCACTTCCATAAACAATAAGCCAGCTTCAGTTAACTCGTTAACTTGTTGGTAGACACTGAATGTTTCAAATATTACCAGCTTGTGTCTATTTTTGACTTGCAGTGATCATTCATTTCTCAAGCATATATGAAAACCAAGTGCCAGTGAAGCTCTAGCTCCTTTGCACTTTTCCATAAAAAGAAACTTTAAAATGAGTTATAACCATAACATGAATCTAATTATTTAAAAACAAAATCTATGTTTAAAATGAGAAAATGGCCAATAAAAGTATGAAAGAAACAGCTAGTACAACTTTAATTTGTCAGTTTTAGTTTAAGAGAAGAGGAAGTCAATGCCTGTTGTCTATCATGTTGCCAATAAGTGTCTAAGAACTTAACAATGGATGAATAAAGATATAAAAGCCCAAAATTCCTATCATATCAGTGCACATGCAGCATGTGGCCTGT